ACACACACACACACACACACACACACACACACACACACACACACATCCTCACATCCTCCTACCCCCTTTTTAACTACCTGCCTACCTGATAATCAAGGATGTTTATCGAAAGTGACTTTATTTTAATTTTGTAAAGTTTATGTGTAATTTTAATTTTGTTCTATGTGCTCTTTATGCTGTATTAGTTTATTTATTAAAATTTACACTTAGACGGCATGCTCAGTAAAAAATGATTATTATTTAGTGTTTAATCAAGTCTTTATATTTTAATTTTAYTTTTTGTCTGATAATGTACGAGTGACAATCATTTCTGCAGATCCTACGGKATATTGGACCAGTTTTGTCTCTGTTGAAGAATTAACTGTTGATTTGTTTTATTTTATTATAGGCATTTAACAATTGTAACTGTACCATTTTTCTTGTCGTTTTTTTTCCTTTTTCAGCCTCTCTGATGGGAGGAAAAAGTGGCCTGACAAAACCRCAGGACTGTGGTAGACAGGCAGGCTGGGTTTTCAGAGCGTATAAAAAGCCTTTTAATTACCTCTGTTTGGTTAGACTTAAGGTTACAGTTAGGACTGAGGCTCAAGCAAGTGCTTTATAGAAAAAACACCATGGAACTGTCACTTATGCAATCATGACAAGGCCATGAATCTGGATTTTCCTCTTCATACAAACTACAAAAGAGATGCAGTTTTTCTGAGAGATTTAGCAAAAAAACTGGGGGGGTGGGGGTGAAATTTGTTGAATGGCTTGGACAGATACACCGTTAGTTTATACTATAAAAACTGCCTTGTTGTTGGCGGCTATGTAGAGACCACAAGCTGGCATTTTCAGCTCCCCGATGAAAACAACATGTTCGGGAGAAAAAAAAACAAACTTTTCTATTCATGCTTCAACACAGTAAACAGCAACTTTGTATGTCCAGAGGCCAAGCCGTCTAAAATGTACTGTATTTTTCTACCCGCAGTGATGCAGCTTCGTTTGCTCTGCAGCATGGAAAATGTGTTTCCCTTTTATGTGTTTGTTTTCCTGGTTATCTTTCAGACAGAACCTGTTTAGATGTTTTTCTACTGAATAGTTTCTTAGGCATGTCACTCATACAGACTGGCATAACTTTCTCTTTGGAAGGTTGTCATTAAGCTTTCTGGTAACTAAAATTGATAATTTAGCTAAGTCAGTTTCTTCAGACAGTTGGAAATACTGTTGCTAGAAAGACTTAAAGTCAGAATTTCTACATTTTCCTGATTTACTTTTTTGTTATTTTGTCTTGACTAATTAATGTTGTCTTATTTGTGTTTTATTTAAAAGTATATGCCATTCCATAGCTTAAGTTGGTTCATATTCATCGCATTACTGTGTTTAGACCTCGGGCTGTGCCGCAGTCTCACTCTCACAATCCCGCGAGGTCGCTGGTTTGAGCCCAGGTTGTGTCGGGAAGGGCATCCGGCGTAAAACAATTGATCAAAATCTTTTGTGCTAGTTCGTTTTCTGTGGCAACCCATGCAGGAGGGAGCAGCCGAAAGAACAATAACTGTGTTTGTACCTATGCTTTGAGCATAGCACTGGGATATTGGTTTTTATGGCCAGTTTTGTTTTAAAGCTGAGAGTTTGATCTAAATGGTGCTGATTGACAGTCGTATGTGCTCTCAGGGACTTTGACCTCATCTAAATACTACAAATATATAAATATATATATATTTCATATGATGTGATTTGTTTGCTTTTAGCTGTGATGGCAAAAAAGATGAACCAGAGCAGTTTGAACTGTCAGTACTTCTACATAAACTTATTTGTACCCACTTGTTTATTTTTTATTTTTACTGGTAAAATTCCAAGGTATGATGGCGATGAGCTTTGTTATGTTTCTACCCTGAGGGAAGTGCAGATAACTGTGGATACACTTTGGCTGAGTCAAATCACAATCCATTCATTCATCATTACTGTGAATCAATAAAACTTCATCTCATTCTAAGCTGTCGTTTGCTTCCTGCCTCATTCTTGTTAATGCACAACGCAGTACGGTATTMAATCAGAAAGTAGTTTGAACAACTGCTGACAAATAATAATATTAAAAAACAGAAAAAAATACTGTCTTATATGTTGATCAGGCACAAAAGCAACATTTATTTTCTAACTGGGAGTAAGTTCATGCGTTTTATCAAAATACCAATAGGATATTTGACTGTTGAAGTGTTTTTATTTTAGAGATTTGCATTTAGATTGTTTAGGTTGTGTAGAAATATGGGATGATAATTCCATGTGTTAGAATGATAGAGAAGAACCACCACCAATATGATCTATTGAGCGTATCAATCACGATTGCTCCCCTAAATTGTTTCAATGTGCTCATTAATTGATTTAGTTTCCTGTGATAAAAGTGAGTTACCTTCTTTGGTTTAGATACTTGAGAACCTTTGGAGTCATCAACCCAACGACAACTCTTTCAAGTGGTCAAATTTGCTTTGCAAACAAGCTTCGTTCCTGGAAACTGAGAATCGCTCAACTATTCCAGTAAGAAAAATACACAAAAGTTGTCCAAGATTTTAAAGCAATATCTGGTCTGGTAGATGAGGGTGGAGTAATCAGCTATGTCTGGAAAGAAAATTTACTCTCAACAAAAGTGGGATTTGATCCCAGCTGACAAATCCTCCCAGAAAGAAAACAGCAAAGCTGTGAAGTGGCCAGTCGCCAAGATGAAACAGCTGCCAGACAAACAGGAAAGAAACACTTGAAAGTGGAGCACCTGGGTTCATCAAGTGTACTCTCACACATTCAGCATCCTTTCATGTTCTGTCAGCAGAGTGTTTCCCTAAAAAAAAAAAGGAAAACAACGCTTGATTTCATTGGGTGTTCTGTTTTACTCACACAGTCCAAAAACATGCGTGCTAGATAAAGTGGAGAGCCTTTTGCCTCTATAGTTTGACTGTAAATGACATGTTAGCGCTTCAAGAGATAAGTGACATGTCTAAAGTCCCCACCCTGCAATGACCCTGGCCAGGACACAACTCTTTGCTCTCTGGAAACAGCTGTTTTTCCCTAGAAAAGATCTAAACGATTTCATCATGTCGGGCAGACACAAGCGTAGCTGCAACTTGCTCTGAGAGATTGTGATTGTGTCTGTAAGAACTTGATTACATCTCTAGGAAGGCTCCTTCTTGTGTTGACTGACATCCCAACGAAACCYGAAGTCAGGCACGGCCCTGAAAAGAATCGAAAGAGCCGAGGAAATATGAGGACACTCCATTCATAAACACCTGCGGCCGCTCAGTCCTCGCTCGAAGCCTCCCGAGGCCTACTTCCTGCGGGCGGCCCGTGTTTTTATTCTGTAAACCTCCCTGCCACCCCACCCTGAGCCGATGGGGACCTCAGACGGCTTCACAATGAAGACTGTGTGTGCTGTCTGAATGACAGACCTGTCCATACAAGCTACAAGGTGCACCCCCCCCCCCAACACACACACACACTCCTCACCCCATCAGACACACATACAAACAACCAGGCAGCCTAACAAGTTTCGCCGTCATCTCTTTCAGAGGCAGTTTTCCACCTTTAACAAGGCAGCCAGACACAGTGAGGGAAAAAAGGTGATCATAAGTCAGCAGTGTTGTATAAAGTACCTCAACGTGACACTTGAGTAAAACTACAAGKATCTTATSATAAAAATAYTTTGGTAAAAGTTAAAGTCTTCTATAAGAATGTTACTTGAGTAAAAGTCTTAAAGTATCTGATATTTTTTGTACTTAAATGTCAAAAGTAAATTTCTGACACAAAATCTACTTAAGTATTAAAAGTAAAAGTACTGAGTAAAAGTGAGCAGTTACAATTTTCCTAAATGACATTTATTGGGAGGTGACTTCGCTAAAACTATTTTTTTCTAATGGTGTGTAGCTGTGATGGACTGTRYACAAAGTAATACGGTGTCAGAATTGTATATATTTATACTTCTCATCCAACCACAATTAAATTTATTCTATCCAGGAGACACAATTTATCAGGATAGTATTTTTTTAAATAATAAAGACACGGAATAAAATAAGAGAAACAACTTACTACTTCTTACCTTTAAAAAAATGTGAGTAGAAAATACAGATAATTGTGTAAAAATGTAACAAGTAAAGGCAAAAAGTACACTGAAAAATAATTACTCAAGTAAAGTACAGATAACCAAAATTTCCACAGTAACAAAGTATTTGTACTTAGTTACTTTACAACTCTGTAAGTCAGATACTGAGGATGAAGGGCACGTGGCACCTTTTTTTACTTTGTGATGACTATCATGTTGGGAGATGTGGGCTGTATTCTAAGAGCATATTGTTGATGATATTTAGTGTGCTTTTTTGTGCTTGCAAGTGTTTTTATCACCTGCCTTTGAAATGTTTTTGCTCTCTCTCTCTCTTTCTCTCTCTCTCTCTCTCTCTCTCTCTCTCTCTCTCTCTCTCTCTCTCTCTCTCTCTCTCTCT